AGCAAGGCTGGTTGGGGAATTCTGGGAGTTGAAGTCCACACATCTTCAAGTTGCCAAGGTTGAGAAACACTGCACTATACATTTTTACCAGTTCTGGATTGATTTAAGACTGTGCACGCTTAACCAAGTTCATGAATTAACTCATTTTCTGGATTTGCCCAGGACACCGAACCATAAATGAACCCAAGTCCCTGGGTTTGCACAACATACTAGAACAACTTGTGTGTGTGTGCGCGCCTTCGAGTCAGTGTTGTCTCCTGTGATTGCCCAATGAAGTCCCTGCAGCTTTCTTGGCAAGATTTTCAGAAGTGGTTCGCCACTGCCTCCTTCCTAGGGCTCAGAGAGAGTGACCGGCCCAAGGTCACCCAGTTGACTTCGTGCCTAAGGCGGGACTAGAACTCACCGTCTCCTGGTTTCTAACCTGGTGCCTTCACCTCCAGACCAACCTGGCTCTCTAGATCTAATCTACCTTCACGCAAATGTTCTGTTCTGCAAATAGAGTCCTAACCTTCTCTCTGTCCCAGTTAAGGGTGCTAGGTGGAGACAGGCTAACTGTTGTGACTGTTGTCCAACATCCGGTGACTGTGGAAGGACCTTCCCTCTCCTGCAGCTGCTGGAAGAGAATACATTGCGCAGTGCATTGCTGGAGATTCCTTGGTGGCATGCCCAGATACCACCTCTATTTCAGTTCCACCAGGAGGGCACCAGTGGTGGCAATTCTTCTTCCCTGTCGCTTCCTAGCTTGCAGCCACCCTCCCTCCGTACCCCGCAACCACAGAGCTGCTCTCATCCACATTTACCACTATGGCCCATCGGAGGCCTCTGAGAACCCCCCATGTGGGGAGTAAAGGCGGTAGTCCTCCTCCTCCTCCTCCACTGCCGGCATCCAGGGGTGCTTTGGTTCCACCCCCCATCTTTTCCTTGACATTTGACTCAGCGGTCCCGTTCCCTTAAACTGCGTATTCTTTTAAATACCGTCAGCTGCCCAGAGTCTTGTAGCACCGGTTATTCGGTGGGGCTGGCGTTCGGGGGCGCCTCTCCTTGTAGGCTTCCCTTGGCTGCTGTAAGAAGAGAATGTCGCCCTAGACGAGCCGTTGGGCCGATCTGGCAAATTTGCAGCCTTATTTGCGATGGCTGGATATTCCCTGTGCTGGTGGTGATGGATAGGCGAGCCTCTGCTCCTTGTCACTAATCTGTCACTTGTATATATGGGGACATGGTGGTTATGCAAGAAATGCATTGAAAGAGCTCTGTTTTGCGGCAACAGTATAAAGTGCCTGGTTTTCTTCTTTAGGGACTCGGTTCTCCATCTTCACCACTTCAGTGAAATTTACTGTAGCTTATACTAAAAAAGATTGTGAGTTTTATTAAGAGTTTCTCGAGGGCAATTTTCCTTCCCAGGTGTTATATATCTTTGATTTTCAGGAGCTGCAAAGCAAGGGGGGCGAGTCCTAGAAGAAAAACCAACAGCTAATAAAAAGCACAGGGATATTTCTTAACAGGCCTTTTGTTTCATTTTTCTTTACAGTTTTAAAGAACACACACAACATTTCAAGCCCCGAGTAGAAAACATCACGAAAGGAAACGCTGCACTGAAAAGGAAGACTTTGCAAACAAAATAGAGGCAAAGCTTTTTGAATTATTGATCTTTGCAAATGTAAAAGCCCAAAATGGAACACAGGGAGTTTTACATTTGGAAGAACCCCTTTTTACTACAGATGTGGCTCTTTATAGGCCATGGTTCATTTAACAAAGGCTTATTGTATATAAACCATAATTGGCTGGGTTCATACAACATGATAACCAGAAAGCCTGTTAACTAATCACAGTGGATGAGTTCACACAGTTCACTGAATTATGAGAGGATGCATGGATAAATTATGGAGGAATGCATAATGCACTGAATTATGAGGAACACACGGCTCATAGGCGACCCCCAAGGGATCCCATCTGCATTCCTTGGAGGGACCAAGCTCACGGCCCTAAAATCTGGCATCTGAGTGGTTGAATATTGCCAGCACAATTTTAAGCCCCTTCCCCCAACCCAAATCACCCCTCAAAATTAGGAGGAAAACGTCCCACGATGCTACTGCATTACCACAAGTCTTCTCATGCCCCTTTTATGAGGAGGAGGAATTATGGAGTCCCCAAGCAGAATAACATGGCCGACCCTGAGCTAAACCCAACCAAGCAATGTAGATGATGGCTTAAGTTGGAATAAAGCATTGAACCAATTTGTAGTCCCATTCTCCCTTGCCCCCTCCCCCCCAAAAAGGGTTAGGGTCTTTTTTTTTTGGCCCTGCCAACTTCTATTAATAAATTCACATTCAATGTGGTGGTTTTATGACTGGATAAGATTTGAGAAGGTAGATGGTTAGAAGGAGATGGACTTATGTCACAAGGGGACTGGATATAAGAGGATGTGTGTCTTCTGTAATATGCTGGCACGCAGAGACCCCCTACGCACAGGCCTTTTTTGAATGTTGATAACAGATGATATGGCAATATGGGTTTTGTGGTTAACCCAAAGAACAAACACCAGTAAGCCTGATTACAGCAGTCAGCACACCCTCACACAACAAAGGGCGGGTTTTATTGTCTACAATTGCACTGGAGCTTCTACAGATCCCTTTGGAAGAGTGACAGATTGCCCTCTCACCAAATTTCTAAGCATGGCAGAATAGAGAAATCAGGCTAAATGGGAAATACTTTTGCCCGGCTCCAAATGGAGCTTTGACTGAGATAGGACTTGGGGCGAGTTGAGATGGGGCGCAGGACTTGCTAGATTTTGAGACCCTGAATTCTCGGCGTCAGAGGCACAGAACGTGCCCCAAAATACGTACGAAGCGTGTTTCTGTCAATGAGGCAGTCCAGTCGCAGACTCTGGCTTTGAGATAAAAAGTGGCAAAGGGTTTTCAACCTGCTGCTCCCTCCAGAGATTTTGGACTACAATAACCATCACCCTGAGCTCCGGTCCTCGTTCAACACTGTGACCCTCTGATGGACCCCAAATAGTACTCCAGTGCCCATCCTCTCTGGCTCCCCACCCCGGACCTTCCTCCTGCCCTTCCCCAGGGGTGCTGGGGGCCGCCCCATCCTCCCCAGCCGCTGAGCATCTTTCAGGGCCCTCCAGATCCGTGGGGCTATAGCGCCCATCATCCCCAGCGAACACACTCCCTTACCCTTCCTCCCAACCAGCTGGGTTGGCCACCTTGGCGAGGATGATGGGAACTGAGATCCAGCTAGCCCACGGGTTGCTTCTGGCGGGGCCGGCTACTGTAATCTCTGAATATTTTAAATTACATTAAATGAAAGATAAGAATATTTTAAACTGTCCGGAGCCTTGGTGATTGGGCGGTGCACAAAGGGGCGTCATTCGTGAACCCCTAATGCAAATACTGATCCTTCTACCAAGCTGCTTCAATCAGACCTAAATT